ATTACGTTCCTATGCTACATCTTGGATATGTAAGGATTACGTTCCTATGCTACATCTTGGATATGTAAGGATTATGTTCCTACGCTACATCTTGGATATGTACGGATTACGTTCCTACGTTTCATCTTGGAAATGTAAGATTACGTTCCTATGCTACATCTTGGATATGTAAGGATTACGTTCCTATGTTACATCTCGGATATGTAAGGATTACATTCCTAAGCTACGTTTTGGATATGTAAGGATTACGTTCCTACGTTTCATCTCAGATATGTAAAGATTACGTTCCTACACTACATCTTGGATATGTAAGGATTACGTTCCTACACTACATCTTGGATATGTATGGATTACGTTCCTACGTTTCATCTTGGAAATGTGAGATTACGTTCCTACGTTTCATCTTGGATATATAAGGATTACGTTCCTATGTTTCATCTTGGATATGTAAAGACTATGTTCCTACGTTACATCTTGGATATGTAAGGATTATGTTTCTATGCTACATCTTGGATATGTAAGGATTATGTTTCTACACTACGTCTTGGATATGTAAGGATTACGTTTCTACACTACATCTTGGATATGTACGGATTACGTTCCTACGTTACATCTTGGATATGTAAGGATTACGTTCTTAAGTTACATCTTGGATATTTAAGGATTACGTTCCTACATTACATTTTAAATATGTAAGGATTATGTTCTTAACTTACGTCTTATATTACGTTCCTACGTTACATCTTTGATATGTAAGGATTACGTTCCTACACTACAATTTGGATATGTAAGGATTACATCTTGGATATGTAAGGATTACGTTCCGACATTACATCTTAGATATGTAAGGATGATGTTCCTATGTTGCATCTTGGATGTGTAAAACAGACAAAAGAGAGAACAACCTCCCGCAGCAAAAGAGCATGCTGCTGGACAGATGTGAAGAAATACCATGTGAGCTAAATGTCATCAAACACAGATTTGTGTAAGTGTTTGTGAAGTTAACCATCCATGAATGTGTGTCTCTAGCATACACAATAAYGCGATAGCTAAACCGTAAACACAGTAGCGCTCGTCGACTTCATCAACCTTGTTTCGGCCATTGCCTTCTTTGACACGGTGGCCCTCCTCGACAGTTGCTTCACAAAGACATCCTCTCAAATCAGTGGAACACTTTTCAGGGATTTTGTCCATTGATTGTCCACAATTTTCTGAAACTATGCATCGACGTTACAACCCACTTTCATCACCTCGCTCCTTCAAATTACATTCCCCCTCACTTCCGGTTTTTCCAGGAATGGTAACTGTGGTGACATTTTCCCAACCAATCAAAATGTTTGTTTCATGTGGGCTTCATAACGTGCAAAAGGTCAGTTAGCTGATAGATTACAAGTTATATATGACTTTCCACACCAAACATTAGCTCAAAATCTGTAAAATTAACTGAAATGTATGCTTAGAGGTGGCATCTACTTATTACTTTCAGAAAATTTCAATAACCGCTGTCCAATGGTTCATGAGATATTTTGCTAACGCTCCACACAATAGTATTGTGAAGATGTTTAAGTTTCCTATAAATTTGAAATGGTAAGTCATAATGTGCTACTACAGTGGATAAAAGTTATAGGGTTTAATAAAGTATCATATTTTCTTACAGCTACAGTAAAACTCTGTCTTTTGATATGAGTTGTTGCTTTTAAGTCCCCATCTCCTCTCTTCTCCTCGGGTCTGCTCCTTTTTCGCTCTAACTTTGTGGGATAATCAGGTCTCTGCTGCGCAGCATCTACAAGGTGATAAGTTAATCTCTGTAAAGTGCCAAGTTAATGACTGCGCAGTCAATCCTCGCCACCAAACCGGAGACAATCAATCTCCTCCTCCTCTCACCATGCTGTCTGCTGCAGAGGAAGTTACAGTTAATCTGACACAAGGAAACAAAACCTGAAGTCCCTCTGGCACAAGAAGAGGAACAACCAGCGATGTTTATTCTTGCAGGAAATGCTAGGCCCTTATATCCCTCTGATGTTGTGAGCATCAAAGTTTTGTCAGAATTTCAGGTTGAGGCTTTTAATTTCTGTTGGTGCAAAGCGGTGGTTTCCAGTATCTATTATTCATGTTTAATTTATAACATTTGATGCAGCAATTTATCATCTTTAATGCAGCAACTGGGAGAAGTATAGGTTAGATAAAAAAAGAAATCAATTACTATAGCCACAGTAGCTACCAAACTGTCCATACTGATCTAAAGCAGCTGACTGTGCTGAACAGATGAACTGTATTGATCCTCAATAATGCTATTGGTTCAATGCATTCGCAAATATTTGTYGACAGCTGTCAGGTAAAATTACAGACTCCGCTGAACACTTGTGACATTTACTTTTGCCTGTAGAGAAGCACCTGGATTAGAGTGAGCAGTGAGAATCGCTCAATATTTCTCACTCATCATTAACTGCAGAGGAAGAAACACGAGCAAATTGAAAAAAAAAAAGTAGCTACATTCAGCTCTCACCGATGCAGACGACGTCCATGAAGCCGTACATGCCGTAGCATATCTGGAAAAGCAGGTCTTGGCGCTGCCAGCGAGCCGACGGGCTGAAGGACGACCAGACCAGCCAGGAGATGCTGGCCATGAGGAACAGGGAGCCCAGGATGGCTGCTGCGATCTGCACTTTCTCTATCACAGTCAASGAGATGGCCTGCCACTGCAAGGAGACATGATACAGATACTGCATTTACATTGTTGTTTCCCTTTTTTTACTTCTCATAATAGCATAGAGCCTCTCGCTGTGCCCTGATAATTCCTGATTCTTTTGGACACATTTGAGGTCACATTTTATCGTTTAGATATAGAAGGTTTATATTCCTATAAGACTCACATAAAACTCATTCAGCAACTTTGCTTTTATTTTGTCATCTTATAYAATTTTTTTTCATTTTGCCAATTTTAGCTATCAGCTAGACTTTTAATATGCTTTTTTGCTAATACTTTTAGCTATTAATTAGCCTCTCAGTTATTTTTAGATAACTTATTGCTATTTTTAGCAAGCATTTCGTACTCTACTTTAGCTTTCACCTAGTCTTCAGCTACCTTCAGTTAGCCTGTTGCTACTTTTAGCTCTTGATATAGACAGTATTTTGATACTTTTAGCTATCAAGTAGCTATTTTTTAGCTTTTTGCTGGCAGCAGCTATTTTTAGCCAGCCTCATAATACTTTTAGCTATTAATTAACTATTTTTAGTTATGGTATTTCAGTATGTATTTTAGTATTTTTTTATTTCTAGATAACTTATTGCTATTTTTAGCAAGCCTTTTGTGAATTTTGACTTCTGGCCACTCTACTTTAGCTTTCATAATCAGAATACTTTACTGATCCCCGGGGGGAAATTGCAATTTCACTTAGTCTTCTGCTAATTTCAGTTAACCTGTTGCTACTTTTAGCTTTTACTAGTGTTTTGCTTCTTTTAGCTTTAACTCTTCAGTTTTACTTTCTTCAGTAAATGGTAGCAAAGTAATTTAGCATTCTCTTCATTCACACTACATTTTTCCAGAAAATGGAATTTCTTTAGTGAGAAAACTGAAATAAAACTTAACAAGACAAAGACAATAGCTCTGRGTAAAACCATTAGCTCAAAAGCATGAATGGGTGTATTAGTGTGTTAAGCTAATTAGGCTAATTGTCAGATTTTTTCTGTGATCAGATTAAAAATAAGCTAATAGAACCTAAAAGCTGAATTTCAGACACCCTGAAAGATTCCCCTCACAAATCCTCCTGTCATACCACCGAAGGCAAAAACTCRGAGAAAATGGCAATCTTTCTCTTTACAGGATCAAAGAGGAAAGTCTTGTTTAATTCAAAAAGCTTAATTTTTTCCTCAGTTTGTGATCAAAGCCAAACTAGAGCTGCACCTTACACCGTGTGACTCCTGAAAAATGTGTTTTAGGTATTTCTGTATGTTTTACATGAATGTCAAAGAAGGAATAAATGAAAGAGGGTAAAACATACACAGTACTTACTGTTTGTCAGGGATGTTTTTTTGTATTTGCCAATAATGGCAGACTTGCAAACATTTTCACAGTGGAAGATTTGAAAACATCTCTGATGTTGCTCACCTGTAACGGGTTCTTGGTGCTGATGGCAATGACCTGATATTTGTAGTAGCAGAGCTCGCAGGCCCAGGAACCTCTCTCGCTGATCCATTTGATGAGGCATGGCTGGTGGGTGCAGCGAACCGACCCGCTGCAGCGGCACGGGCTCAGGAGCTCCCCCTGCGAACGAAACGAGGGTTCAGTCAGAACCTGACATTTCTTTTCTGAGCACTGCCTTTCATTTAAGGCCTGACGCTCAAAGGCAAAGCTAGATGGTCATAACCTGACAATTTTACAAATACTGAGCTAAAATTTGATATGATAGCAGCTTCATTCACAACATATACAGTATGCATAACGTTAATCACAGAGTTTGACCAAAATGGGTTTAGCTGCATCATTTCTCAAAATAAGATGRTTTAAATTTAAAAAGTTTGCATGAAAAACAGAGAAAATGTGCATACTTGGCTTCTAATTAAAAATGAACTCTAAAATACTGCTGTATATGAATATAAAAACCCATGCAGTAAGTTTTTATTCTGTAAAATTTGACTTATGTGAGGAATTCAAAGGAAATCTCTGCCTACAGAAACCACTGCCAGGCAGGCAATCTCTCCTATAGCTCCCATTGTAGATGTAAAATACACCATACATACAGTTATACATCTTTCCTGCAGCCTTATTGATTTCAAAAGGGCATCGTATGAACAGACAAACACACTGTGCACACAGCACCGTGCAGCAGCCTTGCAGCAGAGCATTCACTCAGGTGTGAAATGAAAGCTTTTCCTTACACCTAGTTGACAGGCAAAGTACTTGATTACCAGCACCACTGAATGTGGAGGATTAGACGCTAAAGCTTCGGTGAAAGAACAAACTGTAACTAAGCTGTGCTCTGGAGTTCTTCTGCCGCTCAGTAAAGGAGTGGAGCATTAAAATGTCCAAACGATGAAGATAACATCGCTTATCGTCTCCGATCAAATCGGCTCTTCCTGTCATAAATGTCTCATGACATCATTCTCCTCCCTGCCATGGAATAAACACTGACTGTCTTCAGTATCACTTTAGTCATGAATAATGACTCAGAAACATGACAAAGAGTGTCAAACAGGCCTCCAAATTTCTTAGAGTCTAAATCAGATGAAAATCACCCAGAAAAACCTGAAAAACCCAAAGTTACCAGACACCCTGAGAGGTTTCCTCGACCGAACCGGTATGTGTCAGGGAGATTTCAGACTTCATTCTGTGTTTGCTAAAGACAGATTTCTTCTTTGAGTCATTGTTGACTTTGTGGCCGACTGTCCAGCATCTCTGACTTTTAATAGACCGTTTAAAATGCGAGTCAATTTTGAATATATTTAGCATAAAAAGGGCTGATTTGCATATTTCTTTTAATCTTCTAGTGACATTTTTGAACTCACTGTCAGGATGTTTTATTACTGAGGCTGTTTCAAATCCCTTATGTCAGCCTATTGACAACCACACACTGGTTGACTGATCTCACCAAACAGCAATGGGACAATGCGTGTGTTTCTTGTTTAAATTATGGTATTTTAAGGGGGAGTAATCAGAAGTGGGGTTTTGTGGAAAGTAAATATCTTACCTGTTGTAGATAGATCTTAAATGGCCTCAATTTGGAGAAACTGTGTTTAATCTAGGCCAAATTTGGCCAAGATTTGAGCTCATAAATAGAATATTTTTGGTCTTGGGRGCTTTTCGTTTATTTTCTTTTTAAACAATTGGTGCAAAAAATATATTAATTAAAGGTTTTGGTTCATTTATGCATTATAAGGCACTCGCAAATCWTTTCAAATGAAGTGTAGTAATTGAGTTAATTAAACCATTGCACATTTTTAAAAAAGAGACATTCTGAATATTCAGCTTTAAACCAACCACTCCTCTTAAGCCTGAACAAAAGAGAGTTTTATAATTCTTCCTCCTGAGCTCTTTTAAATATATCACTAATCTTGATATAGACAGTGACAGCCCCCACCCCCCACAAAAAAAAAAAAAAATGCACAGTTACACATTTGATTCAGGTCCTCAAGAAACTTGGCTCAATAAAAATCAGAGCAGAACCCTTCATGTGTGTGTTCTGATCCATCCATGACGGGAAAAAAATAATAATTGAAGGTAAATATAAATTAGCCAACCCTGTCTGATGGAAGAAATCACCTCTTCYCTCTCTTCTCTAAGCTGAGGCTTTCAATTTGAAGGATAATATCCTCCCCACTGCCCATTATAAGCACGGAGATTGAAACAGAAAAAAAAAAACCCAGCTAGTTTTAAAAATTAAATAAAAAAAATAACATTTCTCCATCATTGTGCTGACATCTCCAACAGATGGAGCAGCACCCTGCTTGAGGAGAAGAGAGGGAAAATTCGGGGAGTTGCAGGAGAAAAGGCTCATCTACAGATGGCCGGGGTGGGAGTGTATTGGCAGCGGGACCAGAACACTTCTGTCGTGTCCAGTGGGACTCAGGACGCTCACAGCGACTGGCCTGATCGCAGCCAAGAGCTGAGACTTGGACCACTCCAGTACAACCAAGGCTGAAGGAAGCAAGAGAGGCCGATAACAAACGTGGCACCACAGCCCACGCACTCAAAAACGCGGCATCTAAATGTCTTTTTGTTGATCAAATAGCTGCTCGGATGAAAACATGGACACAACAGGGCAATGCAATGAGAAGACAAGGAGAATTGCTTTGGCTGCTTTATCCTAAAACAACTCAGTGYCTAATTTTCTCCTCATAAAATTGGATCCTTACCAATGTATATATAATGACATGAAAATAAATGAGGATTGCCTCTGCACACAAGAGCCTGGAATCGATGCGAGTGAACTCTATTAACTCTAACCGAGGGGAATTTTAGTGAAACAGACCGCCTCGCGCAGAAACCAAGTGGTTTTTAAAAATGACCAGCAATGATGGAAACAAACATTTCCTCCACAAAAACGATTTCATTTGTGCATTTTGACAATTTTCRAGTGGCGAGGAGAGGAAAGAAATATGCCCAGAAGAGAGAGTTCCTAAAGGATCATATCATTTCATATTTATTTCCCTATAATGACTCATAATGAGGTTTTTATGAGAACCATAAAAACAAAACAGGTTTCTCCTCTAACTTCCTGATCTCACAGCTTCTGTGGATTTTACAAAGACCAAAAAATGGGTTTAACATTTTTCCCTTAATTTTACAAAATAAAAATAAAAAAATAAAAATAGCAGAGCAGCCATCAAAAAGTTTATACCACATGTGTCACACTCAAGGCCCACAGGCCAGATCTGTCTTTGTTTATAGTTTTATTCGGCACACATTTGAACTTTTTAAAGTTTTAGAGACCGACAAACTCCTAACAGATCAAATCTTTAACGCTTCTCATTTCGCTTCAGTACTGAGCACATAGTGGAAACGTCACGCTGCTGCAAGCAGCAAATTTAGCTAATTTATGACATAGTTAAATAAATTAGGTTTAATTATCTCAGTCATATGTTGGATTTAAAGCAACTATCCAAACAGGAGCAATCAAACCTCTGCAGCTGAGAAAAGATGTCACTGCATCAGAAGAATTTTCAGATTTAATTTCAAGGATTTTTTAAGCTGATTTGGGGGATTGTGTTAAAATGTTTTACAAAGAACTGAATGAGCAGGTCAAAAGAAATAAGGTATTAATGTGTCCTTTTTTTCTTAATCAGTGAGCTGTTTGTTTTAAATTTGATAAAACATGTTTACTGGAAACACAACTAGTATTTCTGTGTGAACCAATCGACTAAATATATAGAAAATTACATCACTGACTGAAATCTCCCTCACTGAGGACCATGTCTGTCATTTTGGTCACTGTCTAAACTGAGTTTGACACAACTGCTCTTTAATGTGGAGCCATATAGGAAGACTGAATCTAACTTAACCTCTAAATGTCTCTCTTGGTGCTCAGAAAAAAAACATAAAATGCTTTGGTCCTGTCGACATTTAGGAGTAGAAGATTTTTTTTTTCAATGCTGCCAAAAATCCTAACGGTTGAACACAAACTAAAAACTGCTGAGTTATTTTGATAACTCAGTTACTAGATTAAAAGCTGTTGCATCAAAAGTTGGGTTGATTTGACCAAATCTTAAAATAAGATAAAGATGAAAAAGTAAAAAACAACTTGTAAGAAGATATTTAACCTGGTTGGCTTTCTTAATATCTAATAAGTTTGGTATTTTAAAATAACATTAGTAGAACTGATGCTTATGACAGCTCAATTTATAATTGTCTAAAAACCCAGATAACTGGCTTAACTCAACTCAGTCTTTTTGTATCTTATCAACAAAATCATTTTAACCCATTTTTAGGTCCAAAACTGGATCAAGTCAGTTTAATAATCCATCCCTGCAGGTTTGAGTCTCAYTAAATTTGACCCAACATTGGATTATAAACTGAATTGTTTTTAACTCAGCAGTCTTTAGTCTGCAATGACGACGACAATAACAATTCAGGTTTCTTCTAACATTTCTTAATATCTATACGTCTGCAAGCACTTCATTCTTACATGAACTCTTCCTGAAAGAAATCTCTATCATCTAAAGCAAAAAATATTTTCATTCTTTAATAAACCAGGTTAAGGTCAAAGTCTGAAGTCTGAATAAAGTAAACACAGCATGCAAGAAAAAAAAGAGTCATTCAAAGGTTTTCTCTAACCAATGCAACCAATAAACATGTTCACTGTTAGAATTAAAAATATTTGCTTAATAATTTGCTTTGATAAAAAAATACATTTGTGTAATTTTATTTGACGTTGACTATTTATCATGCAAATCATCTTTTAATTAATTTTTGTAATGTGTTTATACTTTGAGCTGTTATTATTGTAATATTTGTGCACATTAGAGACACCTCTATTATAATTTCAGCGCACAGATGTAGAAGATAATCCAGTTTTTTTAATGAGAGAGTGAAAAACATTAATTTCTRTCTTGTCTGCTCTTTTTTATTTTGTTGTGTTTTTAAGATTCTTTACATTTAAGCATTTGAAACATCAGATACATTCAGACATTGCTGAATTGGAAATAAAGATTACAGTGTTTGCTCATCAATCTGGTAAAAAAAATCCAACATAAGGTTTAATGAGCTATTAATAATTGTTCAGAACCACACTTCAAAACCCACCCCTTTAAGAAAAGGTAGTACCAAAAACACTTACAAAGATTCAATTATAGACTTCTTCCCCTGTGTGGAGTCGTATTAAATTAGAGTAAGATTGTTTCTYAGTGGCTGCCTCTCTCAGACATTCAAGGCCCTGTTTTTCAGAGGGATGCTTGCAGAAGAAGAAGAAACGCTCTGCCGTTTCCCCTCCCTTCTTCACTCTGTCTCGACTAGCTCAGCCTTGGGGATGGAAGTGTTTTGGAGGTGGACTGTCAGATCAGATCCTGCCCGACTCGTTCTATGTGACAACCTAGAGGCTAAAAGAGAATAGAGGATAAATAATGCCCACACTGCCTGTAACATACAGAAATACACTCATCTCTCTGTCCAAATGTACCCCCCCTCCATTCTCCTTGTTCCCATTTACACCTCAGCAGATCCATATCTGGTCTGAACCCAAACCAACTCACAGACCACAGGAGAAAGGACTGGTGAAAGATAAAAAACATGCATATTGATAAGAGAGGGTGAAATGAAGTGCTATTGACTTGCTGGAGCATTAATGAGATGTGTTGGARGAGGCCATGGGAAATATTATTTTTCCCCCCTCTTTTTTTTTTTCCAAAGCAGCAGTACTTTGTATGCACTGCAGAGCATGCCGACTATCTGTGGAGTTTTTCAGGAAACAATGATGACGCTTTGTCTTTGAGTCCCATAATGGACCCCATGTCAGTAATAATTACCAAGTCTGAGCGCAGAGGTGGACTGATACACTAAATTGCTGTTGGAGTAATTAGTAGATGAAACATGGAGAGATTATAAAGCGAAACGACACAGTAAATGTGCTGCTGGGTTAAAGGAAACACGCAGCTGGATTAAAAGTTGTCTTTACTTCACTTGTTTTAGCCTGATTGTTTTATTGTTACCATCTCTTCACATCTCCTGGTTGATGTAGTGTGACATTAACATGGCTCCAAAGTGTCGTTAACCTGAAGGCTCCTTCCTTTTGTTCTGTACGTCATTGTTGTATTTTTTTTTCCAGGTGGCATGCACGAGCAGCAGCACCAGATATAAATCATGTGATTTTGTCATGCATGTAATGCTTTGAAGTGTTTGACTGTAATGAGTTGTTTCTGCATATCTGTGTGTTTTCCACACCAGGACGAGCTCTTTCATTATCCCCCCACTGCTGTCTTTTATGCAGTGAGATAAAAAGTGAAGAAGTCCAGCTCTTCGTCTGTGTGGATAACAAGAAAGGCACTGGGAGAGATTTTATTCAATTTTTTTTCTAAATGGAAAACAGGCTTACTTAAGCAGTGAGAGGAACAAAAATGCACGAACTTGTTGACCCTTTGATGCTCCTATAGAGAAATTCATTTATTTCATTAATTACCAAGATTAAAGAGGAAGGTGATTACCAATTTCAAGCTACACTAAAAAATAACATGTTGAATGAACATAAAATATATACATAAAATGTTTTTCTAGCAATCAAACTATAATTTAATATTTCTGAGTTTAGTCAGCATCATCGTTTAGATTTAATTCATTTTAATCAGGCAAAGTTAGTTTTCATAAATGATGTTATAACATGAGTTGGACATTCCGTTGAAACAAAAATGAGTCTTATGAGCTACAGCACTTTTAGTTAAAACATTGTCATATTGGACTGTGACTGGTAAATGAATTTCTTGAGAGAGTCTCTAGATGTTTGCAGTGAGTTTTTGTGCGTGAGTCACTTAAATTTTGAATATATTCACAAAACTTGCGCCGTGTGTTTGCTCTCAGAGTTGTCAGAATGGTCATGGACGTCTCAAACCCGCCAGAATTTTCAAGAGGTTAGCGCTGTATTTTGACCAGTAGTGGAGAAAGTACTCACTGTACTTAAGTAAAAGTACAGATGAACAGACAAAAATATACTCTAGTAAAAGTAAAAGTACCTCATTAATATTTTTTACTTGAGTAAAAGTAAGTACTTGCTTTTAAAATACTTAAATTATTAAAAGTAAAAGTACTTGCTTAATGTATTCCCTAATGGTCTTGTAGGAAGACCATTGGAAAATTTTGTGTTCTTTAAACTGGAATCGAGACGAAACCTGTAAATATTGAATAAATTAACATGTGAAAGGAATAAGGACCATACAACCCAGATCTGGTTACGAGCAAAGCTTTATTGCTTAGGCTAGAACCAATCTGAGCTGCCTGAAACCAGGAACTTCCGGTCCTTTTATATCTTCAGTGCCTGATYCGCCCCCTACTGGCCTATGGCTGAATCGCAGGCACTCTGAACAACAATACTCCCTTGATGTATTAGAAACGGTTTCTTATGTGTTGTAAAAATGTTTCGGGCCTGTATCTAAACTATTTTAATCAAGACATAAGTTAAACAATAGATCATAAAAGTCATCATGAAGTGTGTCTACTGTATGTATATTTTTAATACATCAGTGGTGTGACATTTTAGTGAACCATGCAGCAGATAATGCATGTTTTTGTGTTTATCCTCTGTGACACTGGAGAGCTGTAAATTCACCACCAATGTCCTTTATCAAATCTCAACAAGTCGTTTTTTTGAACCAGTTAACTTGAAAAAGTTTTTTTAAATAAGGCCACGAGTGGCACACCTCCTCTGTGGTGGAATCCATTTTGGGTGTGCTGCTGCTGCTGCTCCAGCAGGTGATGCGGAATCGCTCTACTTTTCTTGAACGAGGGTCTGATTGTCGTTTCCTGCTTTGTAGTGGTTCAATGGACCAATTACAGCAATTCCCCTCTCACCACTTATTACTTTCAAACAAAAAACCCCAAAACAAACAAAAAATTTTAAAATAAAAATATGTAATTCGACGTGACATGAATGGAATTTATAATTCAATGCATTACAGAAATGTAGTGGAGTAGAAAGTACAGATACTTAATGTAAAATGTAGGGAGTAAAAGTCAAATGTACTTAAGTACAGCAACACAGTACTTGTACTTCGTTACCACCACTGATTTTGACACTTGCATTGGAAATCTCCTCTGACAGAAAACATCATAGGCTGATGTCCAGATCTACAAAMCACTTTGAAGATAAATAATATTTATTGAAAAACTGCCTATATTAATTTCTAACACACTCCAGAACTATGGGGCGGCTGCCAAGGTGGGCACAAAGCAGCTGGGTATGAGAGACAACAGGTGCACAGGCAAGAATGCAGTTTTATAAGCTGTACAAACAAAAAAAGGCTGTGATTTTCAAAAACTGGTGTTCAAGACATTGCCACATGGCTCACTGGTTGTTTGGCTGCAAACATTTAGAATTTGGTGAGACTGCAACAAAAAATGATGGACTGGCGACCTGTCTAAGATAGACCCCTCTTTCAATCCTGTACAGGAAAACTGTTAATGAAGATGGATGTATGGATGGATGGATGGATGGATGGATGGATGGATGAATGGATGNATGGATGGATGGATGGATGGATGAATGGATGGATGGATGGATGGATGGATGGATGCCTATAAGTCTTCAGTATTCTGATCTGAAGAGTTTGAATTTCTGAATCAATCTATTTCATTTTGTTAAACTTAGATCTGTCTGTATTCAGAGAGAATATTTTTTTTAGTTAATTTAAGAATATTTTTCTTTTTTGTTAACCAATTGTTCAAGAACACTGTGTTATTCTGTTTGAGGTTCCAATTAACCCAGACATCCAAGGGAAAATAAAAATCCACATAAAATAAAACAAAACAAAAGCTCAGGAAGATAAGACTGTCAGGGCAAAGGGGGTTTAAAGTTAGTCAACGCCCCCCTTGGATCCCCCTTATGGTGCTCCATGGTCACAGCCTTTGCCATTTTGTGTGTCCCAAGCTAAAAGGTCGTAAGGAACCATAAAGGTTCAATGCAATTGTTTGAAAAAGCAACTGATTGTGGGTGTTCAAATTTGGGGAAAACATGCAGTTGCTGTTGATTTTATATAATTTGTGTCACACAAAGTAAAACTTATCCTACATTTTGCAGCCCTGCTGAAACAGGAGTGTGGGGTGGCACACCTTTGGAAAGAATCCCTGTATCCGCCACTGGAAGCACTTGCCTTATTAAACCATTATAGCACTTTTTACACACCTCAGTCAATCAGATGTGTCCTGGATGCTTTTTTTTTGTGTGTGTTTGTAACGTCATTACATGTATGCAACATTTAAAATGGATATTTTACTTACGTGCTCTGGTCCCTGGAAGCAGATCCTGCACACAGGCGTCCTGAAGCCACTTTCAGTGTAGCTGGTAAGAGAGAACCTCTCCTCCAGCTTGCCCTTCGAGCAGTCATCAGAGGAGCTGCTGCAGCCGCGCAGAGCCGYCGACAGCTCCGCCGCGTCCACCCAGCCCGCCGCCGGCCGCTCTCCTCCCGGGGCCCCGGCGGCTCCGGCCGCGGACGCCGCTGCGCCCCGGTCCGCGGCGTGGCTCCGCGTCAACGTGTTGTTGTTGTCGGGGACGGGGACGCTCGCCTCATCCGACGATTGGCCGCTCATGGGGGTCGGCGGAGGCAGCGGCGCCGGTGGCCCGAGAAGGAGCACCCTCAGGTCACCAAGCAGGACGCAGCAGCGGCTCTTCAGCATGCCCCGGCTGCGCAGCATCGGGCTGGATCCGGCCACGAGATCACAGCACCGCACAAAGGTGCTGGAGGACGTGCGCTGTCATAAGGAAACACCTCTTCATGTGTCGCTGGGTGAAACCGTGGGCGTTTTCCAGCGTCTGTTGGGGGGAGTTTACAGCTGTTTTTGGCTTATTTTACGCCGGAAGGTGTCTTTAATCCAACCGTGCGAGTTTTCCTATTTCCTTCCCACGAAGATGTAAAATAAATCCCAAGGATGCAAACAAGTGTCTGAAGCCATTAAGTTCACTAAATGAAGCAGCCAAAAGAGGAAAGCCAAATGTTAGACTGATGGGGATATAAATTCATGTAATAAGGCTGTATGTTCACTCAGTGTCCAGTCATTTCATGGCCTTAATGGTCTGCCAGCTGCAACATAAACTATCCAGACAGGCTTCTTCCTTCAATTTCATCAAAACAAGCCAACATTTAAACCTGCCTGTAAAGGCTCAAAAACAAATCTGCAAAATCAACATTTCAGCAATGAGAGGCGCGTTTAAAGCCCAGAGTGCTGTAATTAAGCCAATCGATGGTGTGTGCCATGTTGGGAAGCATATTCTGCCTTACCTGCTTAGCTACACCGATCTCTATACAATTCCAGGATTTATTTTGCCCCACTGTTATTTTTCCTCCTCTTCCAGCCCAGACTGCGGCTCGTTTTACGCGTCTCTCCGTGAGGCTTCCATCCCCAGTCATTCGGATCTCCGCGTCCTCGTTTTTAGGGGTTTAGATCCATCTGGTATGATCCAGCCCGAACGTCGGAGCGTCCTGCTTCGGTTTGGGAAGCGTCCGTGGCCCCGGATTCGTCCTGCGATCATTGGCTGCTGGGTCGGCGCTGCAGCTTCAGCACCATGATTCCTGGGACAGCTCCCAGACGCTGCACGTCACCGGCGCACGGTGATGCAAGCAGGCGAACCATCCCTACAAACTGTGCACAAACACACAGCAGGGACAGCCCAGGTTTATTACACGGCCTGGGCTCAAAATGCAAAAAAAGAAAAGGTTGATCAAAAAAAGGGGAGGTGCTTCATACGTATGACCCACACAAATTAAATCAGCTAGATGACAAAATAAGAGATGTTTTGATACCCTCACAATGAAAAAAAGTGATTTAAAAATAATATCTGATGACGCAAAGATATCAATCTTGGGTACCAATGAATATATCATTCCCTGCTATTAGAAGGATTTTTTGTTATTATTTCACCCCAATTTCTGCAAAATCGACTCATCTCATCTTGACATGTGTTCTAAAGGTTTATCAGTTTATTCCTGAATGTCTTTAAAATGCAGTCAGTGGTTCATGAGTTCATGACTAAGAACACCTCCAAAGGGGTACAAATTCCCACAGCCAATATAAATAACTCATAACAGTCCATTCTGTAAATTAAAGACTAAACTCAAAAGGCACTGCAAATAAAACAACTTTTAATACATCAGAACATCAGGACTTCCACATCTATCCTAATGTGTTTTAAATAAATCACAAAACCTTTCATCAGTGTTTGCTCACATTTTGTAAAAAGAAAATTATAAAAAGTTAACATTTTGAGAGTCAAATGTACAAAACACAGAAGTAATTCCATGTTTTAAGTGCAGCTGAGTAAAATGACTGAATACTGGATCTGAACACTCAGAGTTGTACTCTCGTCTTTTGTGAAAAGTCATATATGATTGCAGTCAGGTTAGTGATCATGGGGCGAGCATTAATGAATTGCCATCTTTAAAGTGCCACACTGAGCTCTCGCTCCTGCTGCTTTTCTATTCTGGCAGCAAATTCCAAGTGATTGCTCTTACATAGCATCTCAAGTGCAAAGTACGCCTGATTAAAGAGGCACTGAAAATAAGCCAACCGTGACAGCATGAGAGGATTTTGGGGGAAAATATCACACATTATCGTAGCGTAGCTTTCAACGTGGCGAAATAAAGATTCAGCACTTTTGATTTGATCTTCCTTTTCATTGAAAAATTGACGCAACTTAGATGCTTTCAAAAATAATTAAGGAACAAAGAGCTGTGCTCGAGTTAAATTTGATTTCAAAATCTGTGCAATTTGTGCCACTTGTTTTCCAAAAAGAAGGTTAGCAACCAATAGATTAGTGGGCTTTTCAGTGCATTTCTAAAGTTGTGGCTATTTGTAGGGATATTTTGCAAACAAACAGATTAGCCATCACGGAAAAAGAGGTTTTTGCAAACATATGGCAAAACATTATTATATTATATTAAAAGTAAAAACGGGYTTTTGGTAAAAACATATTTAAAGTTAAGTTTTCTGCTTTGATACAAATTTGTCCTAATTTTGTGATCACTAAAATTGTGTTGTATTGTTATGTTTTTATTCCTATATCGTTAATTTTTCATCAATGCTCATAGTCTTGCACAGTCCAGTGTTTGGATTTTAAAAAGATTTTTCTATTTGTAACAAAACGAATAGCAACATCATATTTCAAACCTTTGGCACAGGTGTCACAAGCCATGTTTCCGTCAACTTTTTAATGCACATTTATAAGTATCACATTAGAAAAGGTGACTGGAAATGACACGTTTGGGAAAAAGTTCCTCTATTTTGCAAAAAACAAWGATTTTACTTTCACTAGAGGTGGTTTTGGGATTTTTCAAAAAAAGATTTGATGTTCTATAGGGGAGATGCAACACATTTGCCGAATACATTCTGATATAGCGAACATTTACCTCACAGGACTGGTCGGCTGTTCCTGTTCAATATTGTAGCTGGACCCTGCTCCTGCTGTTGGCATCTTCTCAGATATTCCCATAATGTGAAGAGAATTACATTTCTTAATTACAACTTTCCCGATAGCAGCAACAAATTCCTGATGACTTCTTTACATTGTCCTGAGATGTGTGTCCCTGTGAGTTTGCAGCTTCTACTTCCAATTTACAGCCATGCATAACATCTGACATAATTGGTTGATTTGCTCCAAGCCAGTTGATGGAGACATGTTGGATTCACATTTCTTCTTCTTTTCCTTTTTTTGCAACATTTTAAAGGTTCGCTCAAAATTGGAATTAAAACTGGATGGAAACACGACCACCGTCCACCTCACTGACCAGAAACAACCTTCCAGTGAGCCAGAAAGGGCCYGTGGGCCATCAGTTGATGATCACAGTTTATCGCCTTTTATGGCTCAGGACCTAACCTGCACATTTTATTTAGTGAGAAAGGTGGACAAATGTGTTATTTTTTTGTGCAAAAGCTGCAAACCCTCAGTCAACAGCACAAAAGTTTGAATCCTTCTCTTTAGAAATAGTTGCTAACTTCTTTCAAGCTAATTCATCTCATATTTCTAGCAATAAAAGTGGATTTGGTAAAAAGAAAAACTTTAAGGATGCATCGTAGCACAATATTCAAAGAAAGTGTAAACAAAAAGAAAGAAAACACCCCAGATTTGCCATGCGTTGCATTTAGTTGGCGCATGCGCATTAGACTTCAACCATTCATACGTTTTGGTTTTTTTTTTTTATTACATCAGCAATTACGTTTATCCCATCGATGTGTTATGATTTCATTATTATGTCTAAGATGTAATATTATCCACCCGACCTCACCGTTGCTTGCACGTGCCGACTTGTTTACTTACGTCACTTCCTGCGCGGCGGATCCTGAACCTAAAGTTAGCAGCTTATGACAGATGTTTCATCTTGCTTTGTTCCTACAAAGCTAACATTTACTTTAGTATTTAGATAAGGTTGTTTTTCAAGCAAGCCGTCCAAATTGAATGCTCGCTTTTATGATGTTTTTAGTTTAAACATAAGCGTTTTTTTAGATTTGGTGGTTGGCCTGTGTTAGCCTCKTTAGCTGCTGCGGCTAACTCTGAACTTTTAAAAGCTACATGGATCTTTATGTAAAGAGGATTTCACTTCAAGGTGAGCTCAGGTTTTAGTGTGTGCTGGTCGTGTTCAGGGGCAAACATGTCCAATCAGCTGACCGCGGAGCAGCAGCGAAAGATCGAGGAGAACCGACGGAAAGCTTTGGAGCGGAGAGCCCAAAGACTCGGACAGGCTGCCGGTACGAAGCCGCCCTCAGTGGGATCCGGTGTCGCCGCAGTCCGACCACAACCTTCCAAACAGGTCGTCTCATTAGTTCCTGCTGATCACAAAACATCTAACTCTGCACCACCAACCCTTAAAAAAGACCAAACCCAGCAACCTCATCATCTGCAGCCTGGCACAGGCAATCAAATCAGCCAAAACTCTGTAAAAAACTCCTCCACACGGGTGAGTTCTGTGCAGAACGGGATCATTTGCTCTACTGCACTGGTTTGCAACGTGTTTATTTGTATTTTCAGGTCACTGGCCCTCATCTTCAGGCCGATCTACGCCTGAACACATCTGGTGGAGCTCAGCGTGAATTTAGTATCGCCTCCAGCAGTTCTGGGAGTGTGGTTGGCTCCTTTTACAAGCAAGCCAGCAAACCTGTGCAACTTTCTGCAGCCAAGCCTCCTTCGCTCTCCACCTCTGTGCCTGCTGTACCTGCAAAAAAACCTGCCATCTCCGTCAGGGGGAAATGTGTGCTTCATGCGGAGAACCGTTTCAGAGTGGAAGTAGGCTACCACGTGGAGCTTATTTCTGTTTTCAAATCCATCCCCTCAAGGAACTATGGTAAGATCCTGCCAGGGTAGGACAAATCATTTTATAATGAGGTAATTATTATTATTTTTGTCTTTATAATAACACAATATTTTCTCTGTTTTAGACCCAACAACAAAAACGTGGAACTTCAGTCTGGACGACTACAGGCAGCTGAGTACGAAGAACTGCCAGTAAAACTCACGCATCCTTTTAAAGCAGATTTGTTTGCGTCAGCTGAGATGTTTTTCTCTTTGACCACGTGTTGCAGTGGACCAAGCAGCTGCCATCCCCTCTGTGTCTTTGAGGCCTCTGGAGGGAGCAGAAGCGTTGGGCGTTGCGGCTTCTAGCCGACCTTGTGACGGTGCAGCCCTGTCTGCGCTGCTGAGGCTTTGTAACGGCTGGCAGAAACCCGGGGCTACTGTGCGGGGCCAGTGCGTCTTGGTGTCCCGGACCAAGTTTGAGGTTGACATCCTTTATCAGGCCGATGTCGTTGCAGCATTTAAGCAAATGCCAACAAAAAGCTACGGTGATAGGTTCTTCTTATTTACAGTTCTTGTATTTTTGCTACATATATAACACATTTATTTACTTGTGCTGCAGATGTGGCCACAAGAAAGTGGAGCTTTTCGCTTGAGGATTACAAAAGACTCAGTGAGTAGCACTATTTTAATTTTTTTTTCTTTTTTTCATATGCCATCTTGTCTCACGGAGCTGTGTTCCTTACTCAGTGGATCTGCTCGGTGGGATAGCAGCAGTGGAGGTGGAGCCTCTTCCCAGGGCAGTAATCCAGGCCTTCTCTGCCAGGTTTGATGGGACGGAAGCCAGGTGTTTAGCCGTCCCTGAGGCAGACCTCTCCAGCATCGACCCCTCGCTCACCTCCAGCCTGATGCCCTTCCAGAGGGAGGGAGTCAAGTAAGTGTCTCTGGGCAGCAAGTAATGCTTTCTCTGCATTGTGAAGCCAATAACTCAAGCAATGCTATGTCACTTATAACCCTTCAGTCTTGTGAAAATAAAAAAAATACTTATGTGCAGCTTTTTAATTATTGCTGAGTGCCAATTTTTTTATTTTGAACATATTTTTGTTGCAGCTTTGCGGTGTCCAAACAAGGCCGCCTCCTCCTGGCTGATGACATGGGTCTGGGGAAGACGGTGCAGGCCATCTGTATCGCCGCTTATTACAGGAACGAGTGGCCTTTATTAGTGGTGACTCCGTCCTCTGTGCGGTTCACGTGGGCTGAGGTAAAACCAATCCGCTGTAAAATGACTCGTTACTTCAGTGTTTCTGCTTATTATGGGTTTAATTTGTATTTAATGCTATCGATTGTGTGAACATTTTCGTATTTAATGGGTCGTTTTATAAAATAATTTTGGAAGACTGAACATGTTTAGACCAGCCGCCTACTGGTTTTAAACAGCGGTTTATAATCACTAAGTACATTTACTTCGTTACAGTATTAAAGCAGTTTTTATTAGAGGATTTGTAATTTTACCAATTATTTTTGTAAACAGCTACTTTTACTTTTTTCCTTACGTTTTAAAGCTACAAATTATACTTTAACTTCTTTATTTTAAAATGTAACACCTAGTTACTTGTTACAAACTTAAATATATTCAAACTCATGAAAGATGTTTCTGCACTCTAAAAAAATAAATGTTGAGTTTATTCAACAAAGTCATGCCATCTGGCTCCACTAAGATTAGTCGAGTAAATTGAGCAAAGAATATACATATATTGCTCATTTTACTCAACCTGGTTTAGTGGAACCAGTTTGGTTCAGTAAATTCAACATTTTATTTCTTAGAGAGTGTGTAAAAGTACTTTTACGTTCCCAATTTTTGTGAACACTTTTATGACTTTTACTTGAGTAGTTTTCTCATCAGTGACATTTATTTTTTTTTACCAAAGTCATTTTCTGTTCATATAATTTTACTTTAACTTAGTTTTTTTTCCCAAGTACTTTATAGACCTCTGGTTTTAAATTTGTGTTGTTTTTGACTCATCTTATTTACAAATTGAAATACCTCATTCTCATTATCTCGTTTTTAAAATCGAGGTTTTGTTTATCATTTAAGCTTTAGGTGTTTCTCTTCTTTTCTTGCTTCAACACATTTTTCCATCAGCTTCATCTGGTCTCTGTTGATAAGTTGGTTTGTCCTTAAAATAGTTTGGATCAAACCCAGTCCTCCAGTCAGGAGCTGAGATCACAAAACAGTTTAGGACAGGATGTCGTCCCATTACTGAAGACACTTAATTTGTCAGGTCTTTTCTTGTCTGGATTACTGACCTGCTGTTAGTGTGAAAATGATCACTAGCAGGTTATATTTGTGTAAACCCAGCAGTGAGAGGTGTTTGGTTTCAGTATCTTCCTGTTACCCTTCAGGCCTTGAAACGTTGGCTTCCCTCTCTGAGTCCCGACAGCATCAACGTGGTGGTGAAGGCCAAAGATGATATGGGATCTGGTTTGGTCAACATCATCAGCTATGACCTGTTGAGTAGGATGGGAAAGCAGCCCCAACAGAACTCCTTCAGCGTCCTCATCATGGTGAGCTGTTGGTCAAGCAGGAGCGTTTTCAGGATCTTGAACTTCTAATGTTTAATTTTGTCCTTAAAATGCCCATCTGATTTCTAGGGGTGCAACGATATAGAAAATTCACGATTTGGTTTAAAACTCACGGTTCGATATTTTTTTGATACAAAAAAGTAGGGGTGTAAGAAAATATCGATACACTGAAATATCGTGATATTTCATTTCCCGATACTGTATCGATATTCTAAAGCCCTGTATCGATTTTTAATTAAGGTTTAAAATGTCAACCTTCTTGCCAACCGTTCATTTTTATGTTGTAGTTCAGCCTCTGACCACTAGTTGGCAGCAGTGAGCCAGCCACTTGGCTCCTCTACCTCTTGAGCGCCAGAGAGTAAGGGTAGCATTAGCATTGTGAGTAAACATTAGCTTTTCTTTTTTTTCAGTAAGAGGTTTTTATTTAATATAATTTTTGGAACAAAAAAATCGCAATATCGCAATACATTGCCTTGCTTACAGTATCGCAATATATCGGGATAAATCGTATCGTGATCCCTCTGTTATGAAATGTATCATATCGCTAAATTCTTGCCAATACACAACCCTACAAAAAGTGAAATTTTCTTGCCCTTTTTAACTTGTAATTTATTGAAATTAATTCTGAATATTTGTTTAACCTCAAAAGGACAGTTTTTATATTAAATGTTGCTGAAACAGCAAGTTTCTCTGTGGATCTGCGCTCAAAAATGCAGACTAGGTGGAGTAGTCGAACACAGATCCACTGATCCTTCAACACAGAGCATCTTCAGAAGACATGTTGATTAAAATAAATTATAAAAACCTGTATTGTTCCATACAAGTGTGTATTGAACGGTTCGATATGGTACATGCATTGTTGCACAACTACTGGTTTCCTCTGTGCAGGATGAGTCTCACTTCCTAAAGAACATGAAGACAGCTCGCTGTAAAGCCGCCTTACCTCTGCTAAAGGTAACACGACTTTTTTAATAACAAGTCTTTTACAGTATTTTCAAACTTACATCAACTTACAAAGCGCATTTTTTTTTAAATAGTTGTAGGGTCTGAGCTGCTTTTTATTTACTTATTTTTTATTTTTATTTTCAGGCAGCGAAGAGGGTAATTCTTCTGTCCGGGACCCCTGCAATGTCCAGACCCTGTGAGCTCTACACCCAGATCCTGGCCGTCAGACCTTCACTCTTCCCTCGCTTCCATGAGTTTGGGCTGCGCTATTGTGACGCCAGAGAGGTAACTTAAGTCAGAGAAATTCAAATTTAGAATTCCTCTTGGTTAACAGATCGTCAAAGAAATAAATTGAAACAAATTTACTCATTTTGTCCGTCTGTTGCACTTAACCTTTTTTTACCTTCAGAAAAACTGGGGCTGGGACTACTCAGGCTCATCTAACCTCGGAGAGTTAAAGCTGTTGTTGGACGAGTGTCTGATGTTGCGCCGCCTTAAATCCGACGTCCTCTCTCAGCTTCCTGCCAAACAGCGCAAGGTGGTCACAGTGACCATAGACGGGATCAATACTCGCACAAAAGCTGCTCTCTCAGCTGCAGCCAAGGAGTTAGCCAAGAATCATCACAGCGTAAGCCACAGCTGTCAACTTTTTATTATTATTACCTTGCAGTCTTAAAAAAAATCTATGATTTTGTGACATTGAAAGCCAAAGCAGAAGCTGCAATATAGCCCATATCAGCAAGCTTGCTACAGTGAATAATCTGCTCATATTAACTGTAGATGATGCCACATTGATTACTATTTAACAGTTAATTTTTTTATATTTCCAGCTCTAATGGCCGAAATGCAACAGTGTTTTTTCATTTTAATAATTAGGACTCTAAGATAATTTATTTTTCTTTAGGCAAAAGATTTTTGTTCTCTTCCCACGAGGGATGCGATTCAGACCTGAAATAGAAAAATGCCTCTAAATGACTCTGAACACTCCAGTCCAGCCTTATTTCCCCTCTAATGGGAGCGAGTTGCTGAGCATGATTGTGCATAATCACAGTGCTCATCAGAGTAATGGCAGTCGCATCAAATCTTCAAACAGAATCTGCTGTCAGTTCTTATCTTGTGCCGCTTCTTATCTCGTTCTCAGAAAATGGAGGAGAAGGAAGCGCTCCTTGTCTTTTACAACCACACGGCTGAAGCCAAGCTGCAAGCCATTATGTAAGTGGAGACCTCCTAATGTCGGGCATCAGTGGGTCGGATCAGCTCGTGTTCGATGGAAGCGGAGATTAAAATGTGAAATGAAACTGAATCTTTTGTGAGAACAGTGGGATCTCATTGGGTTACAGATAATCTAAAGACTTCACGCGTATAAATAATCTGGTATCTTTGTGTGAAACATTACAGTGTGTTCTGTCTGTCAGGGAGTATATAACAGACATGCTGGAGTGTGGGAGGGAGAAGTTCCTGGTGTTTGCCCATCATAAATTAGTCCTTGATCATATCTCCTCTGAGCTGGTTACAAAGGTAAGATGTGCCCAAGGTAAACTGTAAACCGTGTTTTAATCTGATCAAACTGCCGTCCCATTAGCACTGCTTCATTTTAATCTACCACCTGGAATTGTCGCGTTTTCAAGATCGAGTTGCTTTGTTTTCCCCAACAGGGCGTCAGCTTCATCCGTATAGACGGGACGACTCCGTCAGCGGAGCGGCAGCAGCTGGTTGAGAAGTTCCAGTTCTCCYCCAAAGCCTGCGTGGCGTTACTGTCCATAACTGCGGCGAACATGGGTCTCACGCTGCACTCGGCAGACTTGGTGATCTTTGCAGAGCTTTTCTGGAACCCAGGGGTACGTCTTGGCAAGTTGTCGCGTTCATCTGTAGTTGTCGTTTTGATTTAGATTTTGGT